GTCCCTCTTCTTTAGAGAAGACCAGGAAATGATGGATACACGGATCGTGTTCAAATCAATAGGCACGCAATGACTCTAAATAATAATGATCACGCCACCAAACACACATTCAGACTAAAGGAACCAGCCTGTTTGGGAAATGAGAGAAGTAGAAAGTACAGGTATTTGTGTTCAACATGTAAGAAGTAGAAAGTACAGGTATTTGTGTTCAAAATGTGAAAAGTCAAAGTAAAAAGTCGTCAGAAAAATAAGTAGTGGAGTAAAGTACTGATACCAGAAAAATGTACTTAAGTACAGTAACAAAGTATTTGTACTCCACTACTTCCCACATCTGCTGATCACTACAGATCCTCCTCCTCCCTGTGTACCTGCTTCCAGGAGCATTCGTCACTGTCGGGGTCATGGGTCACCGGATCAGGTTTGAACTCCTCGATGACCTCCTGGTTCTCATCCAGCAGAGTCACGGTCATCTGGTACGTGCAGCCGCAGTCCGACCTCCCACAGTACCTGCAGAAACACCCTGATTATCAGTGACTTACTGTTTACTGAAAATACTGAATGTACTCTTCCAGTATCAGAGTCCACATGATAACAAAGGTATCAACTGTAGCTGTGAACATGACAGGATGTGTGATTACCTAGAAGAGCATCAGGACTGTTTGAGGCATATGATAGCTATGTGATTAACATGATGATTCAGCCTCTATGGAGAGAGACATATGACAAGCATGATCATTTCTGACGTGGAGCTAATCTGAAGTAAACATTGAATACTGCTTTCTATTCCTCCATCTTGTGACTGTGGAACTCCCTCTCTTGGATATCAGCATGTGAAGGACACTGTTCAGGAACTAGTTGATGCTCTGTATGTGATGACTACTTCCATTCTGGAGAGGATCACAGATACATGGATCCTGAGATTGAAGCTCAAGCCGGTGACCAGTGATATTGTTCTAACACTCACAGACTTACAGAAGGTGTTAAAGAGCATCACCCCTACTCTTTCTTACCAGTCTTCCACGGTGACGGGAGGCTGAGCGTCCAACTGCTCGCTGGAGTAATCCTCCGCCAACAAGTCGATCACCTGCCTCTTCAGACACAGCCTAGGGAACACAGTTTTTAAGAAACAGGGAGATTTTACCTTGGGTTATCATACATACATACACATTTGTAGACATTACTTATATCAGAGTTATCAGAATCTTTGGGGTTATAGTTCCGAAGTGGTTTTGTGTCCTTCTTTTAAAGCAAAAAATGCAGCTTATAAACACAGTACAAAAGTCCACATACTGTAAGGCTATCAATATAAGAGAGTAAAGATGTGTTTTTTCATTTTTTTTATATATCCTTTATTTAACCAGATAAAAATCTCATTGTAATTAAAATCTCTTTTTCAAGAACGACCTGGCCAAGAGGGCAACATGAAAACAAAGTTACAACAAATGAACACAAAACAATACAGGCAGGTGTTGAGCGATGTATTGAATTGTCAGTATTTAAACATGACCACACACACAGTAATACACACTCACTCAAAGGAGGTTGCAAAGTATTTGGTCACTCCGTCGAGGCCGCAGTCGGAGCCGCAGTCTCCCGGTATCTCCTCCACTTTCCACTGACTCCCGCCGTTCTCCGTCAGCTCCCAGAAGTCCAGAAGCTCTGGGAGGGAAATGCACAAATGTTCAATTCCAAGAGCAGACACTCTCAAAATAAATCAATCCATCCATCAATCAGTCAATCAATCAATCAATCCTACATACATTTATTTTTTTAACTCAACTTTCTAATGCTATTTTATTTCTATTTCAGAAATATTTTGGACTGTTTATTTGTAGTGTCTTAATGTCTCGTATACATTGCCTTGTTTTTTATGCTGCTGCAACGCAAACATTTCCCAAATTGGGATCAATAAAGTACCTACCTATCTGTCCATCCATCAGTCAAGGCATCAATTCATCAGTCAAAAAACAGATAACGCGATTCATCAATCCATCAATCCATCAATCAATCAATCAATCAATCAATCAATCAATCAATCAATCAATCAATCAATCAATCCTACATACATTTGAATGCTTGTACTTTTCAATGAAATGCTCTCAGTAGAAATAGCTCTATAACAGAAGTCGAGAGGTTAATAAGACGTTCATTTTCCAAACAAACCAGTTCGTATTCATTATTAGTTTTTACTCTTGAAGACACTCATCACTTCCGATGTATAACATGGTTGTAGATCTATCTCCTGTGAAGAAGAAAATGGCCACTCACCTTCCCCACTGGGGTTCTTCAGCAGGTTCTTGGCCATGACTGCAGCTTGAACAGGAGGAGGAGGCGGGGCTGAAGAAACAGGAAATCAAATCAATAAGTGTCTCTACTGCGGTTTCTAATGGGCGGACAATCCCCGGGATGCAGATGCTTTATTCCGAATGCATCTGCATCGTGTACAGCATACATTAGACTTCTTCACTCTGTTTATAATACACAGTTCACCTGTACATGTGTTATTTATTAAAGTATGTTTGTTCTACTGTACAGTATTTCATTTCACATTACTTATTCTACTTTCTATGCACGTATATATTTGTCTCAGTCCTGCAACTTACTGGCACCATTATGACAATTGCACTATTTTTGTATGCTAGGTATATTGTATGTCGCATTTTTGCCAATAAAGCTTTTGAATCTTGAATATGAATGTCTCAAAAACGCACATAGATTGTATGACCATAACGGCATACAGTCGATTGCTTTAGTCAATTAACACTTTTTTAGTTTTATTCCTGCAAATTACCTGCACTATTATTCCACTTTTACGATACTTTGTTGTTCTTTTGTGTCCTTTTTCTCTCCTCGTGTTTGTATGTTGCATGTCGGAGGAGCATCGACACTCACTGTAACTATTGTGCATCTATTGTAACTATCCATCCATAACCCCACTCCTCTGTACCTCTCCGACCTCCTGCACATCAACACACCCATCCGCACTCTCAGGTCTTCTGCTCCCCTCACCCTCACTGCACCCCCCTTCCGCCTAACCACCATAGGGTCTCTAGAGCCTTCAGCCGCTCTGCACCCCGCCTCTGGAACTCCCTCCCACCTGACATCCGCAACACTCTCTCCCCCATTTTCAAATCACGCCTCAAAACACATCTCTTCACACTCGCCTATCCACCCTGATCATTATCCATCACACATCTTTTTATTTATTTGATTGATTTATATACTGCATTGTCTTGTTTATGTCTCTTATGCTGGTGTTATGAATTGTGTATCTTGTTTTTTATGTGTTTGTACGGCGACCTTGAGAGCCTTGAAAGGCGCCTATATAAAATGAATGTATTATTATTATTATTATTATTATTATTATTATATGATAATAAAGCCCTTTAATCTCAATTATTAATGTCCCAAACACACAAAACATGCAAGGGTTGTCTGATGCTAAAGGCAAAAGACACGATGAGATCTTACGTGGGAAAGAATATGCATTTTGATACACACATGTATTTACCAGACACGGTGTTTGAAAAGCATTGAAAAGGTTAAATGTAAAAGCCCATGAAGGCCGGGTCACCTCCACAGAAGTGGAACACTAATACCCTGTTCTGCTGACTCACTGCTCAACAAGTGGCCAAAGCCTCTCGGTGCACATGCTGAATAGCAGGAATCACAGAGGATCAACCCGTCACCAAACACACATCAGTCAGCAGGAAAACAACCCGGGGTCGTGTGTTGCCATAGAAACTGTGGAAAGCAGGAGGTTAAGGAGCTGCTTTGAGGCTGAGGAGGTCCTAAGTGTTACTCACAGTTACTGGCTTCAAGAGAAATGCATAACAAGTAACAGGAATATGTAATCAGGAACAAAAGGATTCCCTGGGAGATACATAACAAAGAGTAATCAGATTACTGTTATTTTGCGAAAAATTGGGGATTACTAGCAGGATTACAATGTTACAATTAAAATGTACTATCACCGTAATAAACCGTATTTAGTTGAACCGTATCTAGACTTCTTGCACAATTTTTATTTTTTATTTTTGTATGTTGCATCCTTGGAGGAGGTCGGATCAGAAGATTTGTATTGCCATTTCTACACTGTAGCCTATCTGGCACTAAAACCGTTGAATCTTGAACCTTGTTAGTAAAACCTAAAAAGGCCAGATAGTGTTTGTTGTAAAGGATCAGATGTTCTCTCTTCTCTGTAAACTGTGCTGTTCTGTAGGATAATACTTTAAGTGTGAATCTATACGTCTACTTCCTGAATCTGCTTTATGGGTTTCACTTTCTTTGGTTAAATACATCAATAAAATCTCTGAGCAGAGGACACATTCCTGATCCTAAATATCTTGGTTTCTTACATAATACACTGAAGTAAAAAAATCATCTTTTTGATATTCCCTTTCCCTTCTATGTATCTGCACTGCATTTAATATTGAGCTAATCCAAAAGAAAGTAATCAGGTTACATTTTTTATATATGTTGATACTCAGATCAGGTTACAAGTCATTGTAACAGAATACATTTCAAAGGTTACCCTCCCAACTCTGGCAATGATCCTACCATTTTGTATAACCACTTCAAACCACTAAGTGTTCTGCACATATCAGATCAGAAAACTCAAAATATTCCTACATTTCTGAGATTACTCATCAAATTACTGTCAATGCAAAGACTATTTGTGTACTTAAAAAAAGTCACACCCAAAGGCTTTATATATAAGGTCACAACTCAAACAATAGCTTATATAAAAGAAGCAGTTTAGGACATTTTTAAAGGAAACGCCTTGGAGGTATTTATCTGAGTAACATCCAACATCTCCCAGTTTCTTGTTTGCATTATAACATTACTCACTAAGCCAAACAAAAACAGCCGAGTCATGTTCCCTGGCTGCAGACTTGACATCATAGGCTTACAATACGCAGTACATGCAAAAATACTCTCATGATCCACTGCAAATAAAGCCATTCTGCTATGTGTGAAAACAAAAAGGCTTACTCACAGCGAGAGGAACTGCAGTCTTCTCTGTTCTCTGTCCTTCGTCTCTTTTTCTCACTTGCACTTGAGCTCCTTTGCAGAGGCCCCCTCGTCACAGTGAGGCTTTATAGCCAGGGAACACACAAACACGCACACGCACACGCACACACATACACACACACACACAGTGAGAGAGAGGGGGAGGGAGAGACACAAAACCCTCTGCAGGTTAGGGAAAGCATCCATCCAGCAGAACTCAGCCGGACCAAACATGCTCACACTCAGCACAAATGTCAGTGAGAGCAAACATAAAACCCTCAGTGCTCTTCTTTCTAAAGGACACATGCAGGCCTTTAACTGTACTAACGTTGTATTCTGTAGACATTACATTACATGTTACTTGTTAGACGCTTTTATCCAAAGCGACTTGCATACTCAATACTGTCGGCAATCCCCCCAGGAGCAATTTGGGGTGAAGTGTCTCAGGGACCCCCAACAACAATTATAAAGTCTCAACAAATGCACTTGTGTCTGCAACTATATATTTGCTTTCTTTCATCTCCTCTGACAAGTCCCACTTTTTCAGGAAGGTTCACATCAAGTGTGCTGTTAGTGACGCAGAGAAACACAGTGGGAAATTCCTGTACAGTATGTCCAAAGAAGAAGAAGAAGAAGAAGCAGCGCCCTCTATTGATTGAGTCATTCAAAATAATACAAACAGCATATACATATATACTTAAAAATGAGTTATGAACAAATGCACATCCTCACAGTTGCCATAAGGGGCTTATCTAACTACACAGATTATTTAGTTTTGAGAGCCAGGCTATAAACATGTTTATTTCTGGTGTAAAGTTGGGCATTTTAACATGGGAGTCTATGGACATTGCTCCCTGCTGCAACCAGCCCCCTACAGGCCACCCGATGAACTGCAGGCTGTGGCACTTCCGCATAGGCTTCACTTGCCGATTATCTAATACATTCATACAAAAAGACTTCGGAGGACATCTAAGGTTGAATTTCAAGAATATGCGCCTGTACAATTCAATGTTTACTCTAAACCTCACTCAAAATAAAATGATAAAGAAATAGTGAAAGTCTCCACACTTTTTGACAATAGCTTATATATTATTGCTTTGCGTGGACACAGGCTATTTTATTATAGCTGGTAAAACACGCTAATAAATCGTCCAATCATCCATCCATCAATCCATGATAGGCACTGGTACTTTTTGTAATGTAAGCTTATTTTAATGCTTGTGCTTTTTTGTATTTTACCTAGTTGAATAAAGGTGCATTTCATAGTTTGAATGGAGCTCTGCCATGGTATTACTAGTTTTAGATAAGGAGGTGAGTACTTGCTCCGTCATTGCTTATGCAAGTTTTCTGTCATGAGTTTTGATAAAGTCATCCATAGATAGAGAAACATTAGTGTAAAACAAGTACTACAAGTAAAACGTACTAACATTTGGGAAAGCACAAAACTGCTGTACAGTGGCAATACAATATATCACCTGCAGAGGGCGGTAATGCACTGCAATAAAGTGATACCGTTTTTGCTATTACATTACATTGCATTTAGCTGACGCTTTTATGCATAGCGACTTACAATAAGTGCATTCGACCAGGAAGATACAAACTTGAAGAAAACAGAATCATATAAATACATCAGGTTTCATAGAGCCAAACATTTCAAGTGCTACTCAACTGGCTTTAGATAAGCCAGCCCTTTATTAGTATATAAGTGCAATGTTAGTAATTCTATCGCTCGAAGTGGAGTCGAAAGAGATGAGTTTTCAGTCTGAAGGAAGATGTGTAAGCTTTCTGCTGTCCTGATTTCAATGGGGAGCTCATTCCACCATTTTGGAGCCAGGATAGCAAACCCACGTGTTTTTGCTGATGGGAACTTGGGTCCCCCTCGCAGTGCGGGTGCAGCGAGCTGTTTGGCTGATGCAGAGCGGAGTGCACGTGCTGGGGTGTACGGTTTAACCATGTCCTGGATGTAGGAAGGGCCAGATCCATTAACAGCATGGTACGCAAGTACCAGTGTCTTGAAGTGGATTCTAGCAGTTACCGGAAGCCAGTGAAGGGAGCGGAGGAGCGGCGTGGTGT